GGGGGGGGGGGGGGCCCCCCCCCCCCCCCAAGAGGTTTTGATATGTTGCAGTATTTCGAAACGATTTTACCTTCAAGGGACGCGATCACGGTTATGCACATGCGCGCCGTTTGTCTCTTCAGAATAAATTTGTTGGGTCAACGCTAAATTCGAAATCGCCATTACTGGTACAATCATTGAAAATCCTTCTTTTTATTCCGACATCCGTCGCTTTGGCTGGCCTAGTTATACTTTGGTAGTTGTGATTAACCTGTGGTTGTTGTTTGACCGGTTATTACGTTTTAAGAAGACGCAAAAAATAATGTTTTGATCATGGAGGTTTAGAAGAGCATCGTGGCCGTCTGGCAACAGGACTTTCTCAAGAGTCTTTGGAGATAGAGAAGCTTAGCCGATCGATCTGATATGGTTCTAGGAGTAGTGTGTGGCGTACGAAAAGAATGCACGACACTTGGAAAGTGGTTAAAGGCATGAGTTCGTTCAACTGTGATTTGATTTTTGACTCCGACTTGTAGTTATACCGTAACAGGCCGCGCGATCTTCACCGATCTGGTACACTTGAAAAGTTCCTTGTATCTTTGCTTTCACGATCGTATATGTTTAAGAATTGATTTTTCTTAAATAAATTATTGCCTGAGTATTCTGTTTTTAATCTAGCGAGGAATAAGCGCTTTCAACTTCTGGCGTTTCCGACAGCCAATCAAATCTTGTGGCATTGTTCTAACAGCCAATCAGCCTTACGGCCAAAATCTGGCCATAACGAGCACAAACGTGAATTTCAGTGGTAGCCGTTAGAGAGAATGTATGAGAACCGCCCAAATTGGGCCTGATCTCAGGTTACACATTCAGAATCACACCATATCGACGGCTACAACTTGGACTGACGAAGACGAAAAGGAAAATTCGGAGTGATTTTAAAAAAATTATGAGGAGCGGATGTTTTGGTAAAAGTGGAAAATATGACATTTTTATTTAGTTGAAATTCCCTTCCTTAAAGCAATAAAAATAGCGAGTCATGGGACTTGTTTTCTTCTAAAATACTTGGAGATTGTGCTTGTAAAAGAACCATGGGTTACTATAATGCGCTGTGTTCTCCACCGCTGACTTTTGGGTGTCCGCTCCAGGCATCCATTGAGTTTGCTAACACTGTCATTCGGCAGAGAAGAAAACGATTACATGCTACGCTCCTCAGGGTTGAGAGAAGTAAAATTATAAAATTATAGAGCACTAAAAACATGCCAGAAGCCATGTTGGCGCATACACGCGTTCAATTTACACATTGTTATTAGGTTTTCCTGTTTCGAGTGTAACGTTTCAATAACTTGAAACATAACTTCTGGACTCACTTTTCAAAATCAAGCGACAAAGCGAGTGTTTGTGCCTTAGAAAACCAATTCTCGTCTCAGGGAAATTGGATCTAGGTCTAGTTTCAGCGAGCACTTAGCTTTAAACAGGGGCACCCAACGAGAATATAGTTCAAAACCACTTAAACATAGCATTGTTAAACGTATTTTAGTATTTAAACGGTAGATATAGGCATATTTTTATCTCCTAAAAATGTTTTCGACAAGTTGCTAAAATAGATCACGCGCAAGGTCAAATACAATGCTCGAATACTTGCACGCTCTTTTTCTCCAGAACCGTTTTTCTTCTTCTTACTTTCTTAGTTGGCAACGGTTCCTCCGTTAGTTTTTAGCTGTTTTCAGCGTGAAATCTAAAAGATGTTACGGTCCACCGCGGATGCTCCCGTTCTCGAGAATGTTTACCTTTTGTTGGATAAATAACAGACCATGCAAACATCTTGGAACAGCACCATCTCTTGTGAAAATTATTTCATTCAAATACTTTCGTGAGTCTTCTCATCTAAAGCAAGTGAGCGAGCACAGTTTCGCTGTAAAGTGCTTCCCATTGCCTCGCCGAATCGCATGAATCCTTAAGTTTCTTTGTGAAAAGATCTCGGGAAAGTAAAGGCTATTCCAGCTAGAGTAAAATCTTCTTTTTGGTGGCCCTCAGGCATGCAACAACTCGATGCAAACCATATCGATCGACTCAATCGCTAAGACGCGCAGTCAAAACAAAACTCTCGAGGCCTAACTAGCCTCGCTTTCGCGCAACTAGACCCGGGCCGGCCGAGGGGTCCGCCATATTTGCATTCTATGTATACAAATGTCAAGAATTTTGTTGTTGTTAGTTGTAGACGGTACATAGAAAGCATTACAAAATTACTGGACAAGAACTTATGAACTTATGTAATGGCGGAGTAAAGACCTTCGATGTGACTGTCCGCAAACTTTACACTTTGCATGGTGGCTAATGGCCGAATTTTTCAATAATCTACTCAGCAAAAGAGCATTTAG